TTTTTTTTTTTTTTTTTTTTTTTTTTTTTCTCAAACAAACGTATCCTGAATTTCCAATTTTGTTCTTGGATCGTTACAGAGCACAAGACAGCATACAGTAATTACCGTTCAGGGCAGGTGTGAATGCTGTATTCTAAGTCGAGCTTATCAACTGGTTTGGCCAGGCAAGTGCTCCTTGCAAAATTCCATGTCACACGCCCTCTTTTTGGCTTTCATGATCCCATAAAGTTGCAACGCGGGGTAAAATCGTTTCTTAATATAGATGGTGGCTTCTACTTGTTTTCAGCGATGTGCTTTAAGGAAGGTTAAGGAGCCTCCCTCCCTATTGCTGGGCACCTCTGAGAGCAGTCTGTGCTCTGGCCTGGAAATACTGAATTTCTTGAATGATGGAGCGAGAGCACTTCACCCAGGGATAAAAGATGTTCTCTTATCTAAGTGCTCTTAGACGGGATTTTTTTTTTTCTTCTACTAAGGGAAAGAAGATTGCTCCTCCAAATATTTCAGGGACCACTTAAATATTCTGGTAGGCGGCCGTAAGTGTAAGATTAACTATTCACCCAGTAGTAGTCCCCACCACAGAGCTCACCACTGAGCGGGTACTGCTGTAAACACTGTATTTTCTGTTCATGTGGCCTGTTAATGTCAATGTTTACTCTTCAAGCATTTGCGGCGTTCATTTCTCTATTTCTCCGCGCACAAATATTGGTCATGCGGGGAATTCATTTATCTATTTATTTATCTGCACACAAAGAACTTCAGTTAGTTTGCGATACTTAAACCGTATTACTCAGGGGAATATTTAAATCCGCTCTAGTTGTGCTCAACTATCATAGCACAAATTGCAAAATGAGACAATTAGGTTTCACATTACAATCTCTATTTTCCTAGAGGTAATGTCAGAAAATTATAAATTTTAATTACATTAATAATTTAAAGAACCAAAACAGATTTCCAGAAAGCACTTCCCTGAAAAAAAAAAAAAAAAGGAGTATTAAACTGAATGGCAATGAGGACAAGGACGGCTCATGGAGACAAGGTACAGATTTACGTGACATTTTGCGTTAAGATTGATACGATTGGGTTATTCCGATTTCCCTCAATATACTGTGTACATCTGTAAAGGGCCACTTGTTCACTTGTTGAAAACATCCTTCAATTAGCTGGTTTTTAAAATGTTCACAACAGTTTATCCTACGTTCTATCAATAACAAACCACCTTTGATTTTGCAAGTGCCATTATGAATACAACTTACCTTCCTGTTATCCACCCTGCGGTGCGGAAGCATCGGTTGATTTTTTGTTTGTTTTTAAAGAGGACAAATAACAGCACAAGTTCTTCTGGGGATAAAGAAGTGAGCCCCTGTTCAGCCTCAGTCAAGCTACTCTACGTGGCATTAAGCCGTATGTTGGATCGTGCAATACAGAAGTAGAGTCACCCACCACGCAGCGCCCGTGAACACACACAAACCTTGGGAACTGTGCTAGTGCACCTACCAGGACAATCAAGAGTATGATTCCTTCCTCCTCCATAAAGCTTAATTCTGGAAACTTTACAGTAGTCCCCAGAAAGATGCGATGGAAGAATGCACGACACTGTGATCTTGCAAAGTAACAAAGTTTTGCTTTATTACAAAGAACCCTTCCCTCCCTTAAGTGCCATGCCATGACAAATACCCACATGGGTTGGTACTTGATCTATGAGAAGGATTCCCCCCCTCCTTCCCCAAACATTCCTTTCCCCCAGAGTAACTGATCATTTAGGCAAGCAAGAACTAAAGTAGTAAAATTTCTACTAGTTCTCCCCACTATTCCCACAGTTCCAATCTGAGAATGTAGAAGTGAATATTGTTTGAATTTCAGCATTCATTATTCCATATGGTACAGAATGTGGTAATTCTAAGACTAAAAAGTCAAGGCAATAAGGAGTTATTTTGTGTTAATAACAAATATTCCTTTGTATCTGATCTGATGAAGGTTAATCGATGAGAATCAATTCAACGGAAAAGCAACAAATGAAAACTATAGTCGAGTAGAGCTCTAACCTTAGTTTACAGACTTACGTTTATTTTTAAAGCACTGAAAGTGCCAGTAATTCATTGCTAGGCATCTCTCTGTCAAAACTACATAGAATTACAATATCCTCCTCCATTTCCAATGACTGATATCAGGAAATAGGGCAGTAGGTTCATCCCTGGCTAAGTCACATCACTGGGACTACCTTGAGGGTGGATTTGGCTGACAGAATCTAATCAAGCACAATTGTTCTAGTTTGCTCAGTGGTAGACAGGGAAGGATGGAGTTCCACACTGACTGGCGATCAAATATGAGTCACAGTTCCCATAAATTTCACGTTTGTCAGCAAAAGTATTGAATAAATGATTCGATCAGAAGGATATGCAATGACTGTTTGTATAAACTGCCACTGCCATACCCGTATTGAAAAAAAGA